ATATATATATATATAAATAATTATTATTTTAAATTTGTAAAAATTATTATTATTACATATTTTAAAGCGCAAATTATTAAAACTATTTAAGGCATCATGTCTTAGTAAGATATTTATGCATTCGGCGAGCTATTAAAACAAATATTCTGATGTAAAAATATATATTCGTGATGATATAAAAATACTGGAAATTTCAATTATTGAGTGGTGTGATTTTACTTACTATTGTAACAATAATTAACATCGTGAACAATCCTGCTAGAATAAGATCTGTCCAATTGGGCAGGTAATGTTCAGTCTCCGTATCTCCTTCGTCCGTCGATACTGTACGGTTCCATTGGTAAATGTCTTCATGGTAATCAGTTGTTTGATTCGCCATGACGTTTACCCTCGATCCATAAATGATAATTTCTGTTTCGCAGTGCATATGTTGCAAGACATCATGATAATTTCTATATATATATATAAAAGAAATTCATATCTTAAGTATAACGTACATAACATATTTTATGCAATTTTATTATTTTAAGTCTACAATTTAATTTATAGAATCTCCATAAATTATTCAAGCTACTGCTGTATTGTTCTCTTTGATTGTCAAAATAATTAGAAATAGTTAAAACAATATCTTTATTTTAGACCGTATATGTGAGAAATACAATCAATACTAGAAATTTAAAATGTCTATTACGGTCGAAGCTGGATCTTCATTGCTTAAATAATTCAATCTTAAATTACTATATATACCATATATGTACTTGCATATATACCATATTGTAGTCTTCCGAACTGCACGCCGAATTGTTTTTCCGAACTAAACGCAATTAAACTACTCTAGTAATCGCAAATTAAATTGACAAGCAATTTTAATAATGTGATGCTACAATCAGGCATCATATTATAAAGATGTTAATATGTTGAAAAACTGTTAATAAATTTATTAACAGTTTTTAACATATTAACATCTTTATAATATGATGCTTGATGGTAACATCAAATTATTAAAATTGCTTGTCAATTTAATTCGCGATTACTGGAGTAGTTTTAATTGCGTTTATTTAGTCCGGAAAAATAATTCGGCGCGCAGTTTGAAAAAGACTACAATATGGTATATATGCAAATACATATATAGTATATATTAGTAATTCAAGATTGAATTATTTAAGCAACGAAGATCCAGCTTCGATCGTAATAGGCATTTAAAAAAAAAAGTTAAAAATTTTACTTTTTATTTAATTTATATTATCACAATGTTTAATAATTGTAAATGTACAAAATATAAAATAATATATGTATAAACCATTACATAATAGCATACTGTACTCATAATAGCATATTGTAAATATTACAACTGCTAACAATAATACGTCGTTCAACTGTAGGTATATAATATAATAAATAAAATTCTCTAAAAAAAGAAATTTTAAATGCTTATTTATCAGTGTTTTTTTCATATAAGCCAATCAATTGCAAAGGCACAAATGCCTAAATTTTTATTTGCATTGTCACGAAAAGTGGAGAATATTAAAAACGCTTGTACGACATATCGGATCAAAATGTGAATCCTGCGAACGATGAGGCGCATATGAATTTAAAATTGATTAAAAATCACGACATGTGCACATGGAAATATGAATATAAAAAAGTGATTTAGGTGGAACTTTTAAAACTTTCTATGATCACACGAATATGTGGGCGAAATGGCCCAACGTCGACATTTCTGCAAAATATGGAACTGGATCACATTGGAAAAAGGCAAACGCTCTGGAGTTTGCTAAAATTGGATGAGAAAAGTCAAACAGACTATGGAAATAAGACAGAGCATAAGAGATAAAGTGCTACTAAAAAAAGAAGTCGTATTCCAAAGTATATGAGAAGAAATGTGCGTCAAACAAAATAAATCCCTCGTCCAAATTGGTATTATCACTGTCATAAGTAAGTGTTTTGTCGAAAATACACATTTTATCCAGCAAGTTCTTATACATATTATATATTGATAGTTACAATTTATTTATTTTTATATATAGTTCTAAATTTTATTTTATATTAAACTTTATTTTATATTTAAAGTATACATATTATGTTTTATATATTTGATATATTTTATATATTTAGTGTAATAAAACATTTTTTAATACAACTTTATACCAGTAAATTACTTGCATTTTAAGATATTTATTCTATAGTGTAAAAAACAAAGTTACAGAATTAAACTTATACTAAGGAATATAATTAATGTGAAACATTGCTGCATTAAGTATTTTAAAAAATTAGAGATAATTTTCATTTAAATAAAAGAGCAAATACATTATTATCTTGTTCATTACCGACTAATATAACTCACAATGAGACTGTTAATATATAATCTGGAACTTAAACATATATATTGCGATTACAGCAGTCTTCAGCCACTGATTTGTTTAAATATTAATAGCATCATGGTTACGCTATTAAATATGTTGAAAATTTTAAACCAACGACATTTACATTAACAAAGTATTGTGTCAAAAATAATTTTAAAAAATTAGATTTTCCTAACTTGCATAATGATTTTTTATAATCAACCGCACCAGTCCATTAACGGTCCCAGCAACAAATGGATTTTCCTCTGGTTCGCCGAATTAAATGAATTACAGCATTGTTTCCGCTTTCACAGCGTGACTAAGTAATGGCAACCTGAACTAAGAGGCGGTTTAAAGAGAGCAGAATTCCGATCACGTACTTAATTCTAATAACTATCAGAAACGAACAGATTATAAGGTGTCGTCTAAATGAGCATGGACTGAAATTTCTTTTATTATGATTGCAAATATTACCCATTCTTTCCAGCTACACAAATTCCCTCTTTTTTTAATCTTTCTTGATATTTCAAATCATTAAATATTTTCTAAAGATTTTTATAAAAACATAAAAAATATGCAAAAAATATGCTTTCTTATACGTTTAAATGAAGTAAGTATTAAGACACTACATTATTATTATTATTATTATTATTTATTATGTATATATATATATAGTATACACAAATAGTAAGGCACCAGCAATACTGCTGCTACTACATATGTAAGAATTTATTTTTCTAAAGTAAAACTACGATAATTTTTATTTTTTAGTAAAATCTCTCTAATAAAAATTAGATGTCGATTTGAAAAAATATAATATTAAAACAAAATACATTACATTTATATCCATTATTTATTTTTTTTATAATTAATTATTTTTTATCTTGTTGTAATCATCTTTTTGTAATTAAACTAATTATCTTTTTATGTTTATTTTATATATAAGTATATATGCAAATATATAATAAATATAAAAATATCCTAATATTACGAAAATTTTGTATGGGTATGTATGTCATTATACTTGCGATGAATTTAAATCATCTATCTCAAGTATAAGGTAAAATTTTAATTAATCATAAATGATATGCACGTTTTCAGAGAGGTGTGCCTGATACCATTGCATTATCCATGTATTCCACACGTCATCGTCATTCGACTCTCATACTAAAAGCGACTTTCACGCACACAAAAATTTAACGACTTCATGAAAATCAGAGCTCGCATTATTCCATGGAAAACTCGTATCTGCGAGAAACAGTATCTGTGTGAAACTCAAGGTATGTTGCGTTGAGGAAACAGTTTAAATGGTACTGGGTCGATCGATAAACATTTGATACAGATACTCCCACTAAGAACGATTGTAGATTTCATCAGCCATAAATAATCGCCAGTAGCTCGAAGAATGGTTTATAAAGTATAAAAACTGGGCGGGTACTACCGCGAGGTGTGAAAGTCGGATAAAACAAATGGACCAACGAGGTCTCGCGCGATCGTTATCGATCCTGTAAGATGAAATAGAACGGATTGTCGTGAGAGATTCTGAGTCCATCCTGTTATCTCAGATAATAAAATATTTCGAGAACCTGGGTTATGCATTGCGTCAAGACAAAACACATTATCTTTATAAGACAAATAACAATTCTAAGTGAAATTTATTTTGTTTTAATATTACTTTTTATTTATATTACTAATTTCTCTCTCAGATCCATTTGTTTTACTTTATTATTTTATAAAACGTAAAGTAAGAAATTTTATAATACTTATAAAAATAATGATAATTAATGGAACTATATGTGAAGTATAGTAATAATGCAGTGCGACATTATGTTTATAGGAAAATGAGAATTATTTTACTAAAAATTTAAATATATAAAGTAAAAATTATATATATTTAATTTAATATATAATTTTCTTATACATATTTCCTTATACACAATTATCATTAAAAAGACAAACCACAAATATTGCTAATGTTTTTAAGAGAGATACCAGCTTTAATATTTCAACATATTGAGAGCAAGAGCATTTATCCTTTCAACAAAGGAGAATTGATTTCTAAGCATTACAGGTATATTATTTTAGTTTTTTAAAAATATTATACATATATATTTGAAAAAAATCGAAACTGTTACTATCTTAATTCTATATACACACGCGTTTATTTAAAAAAAAGATATTTGATATTCATTGCTTCAGTTAAAACTTACCGTATTAATCACGAATAGAATTATTTCAAATGGTTTCAATTACAACTGTCTATATGCAATTCGTCTAAATGAGTTATTCTCAGACTTCGATACGGTAGTTTACATCCAGATAAAGTAAAAATATGTGCAGTTGAGAGATAGAATGTAGCGTAGCAACGAAAACAAATATGTCCACAAATTGCCGGACATAAGTACAAGTAGAATATTCACGAATTTAATAGTCCAGATGTAATAACATCTTTTAAATATGTTTTTGTAAATGAATAATTTGATGTAAAAGTGTAATAGTGCTATTTTTCGTACTATTTTAGTAACAAAATTTAACTACTCAAAAAAAATTCACCGCAATTTTTTGCTTGAGAGACATAAAAAATAAAATGGAGATAAAAATTTTCGCTGCTTAATCTTAATGTAAATATGGTTCTTCAAGAATTTTACTTAATTAAAAAAATACGGAAGTATAACAGAAAAGTGACGAAAATACTGCTTTATAATTCGTTATGCCTTCCATTGTAAATGTACTTTAATTTCTTTATTTATAAATGTAAATATGTGGTGAAATTAACTGATAATATTTCGACTATGAATACATTAATCTTATTTGATTAAGTATTTAAGTCAGCAAGCGATTATTTTTCTTAGATCATTATTTCACTGAAGTAGTACATAATTGCTGAAAAGTTTTTCTTTTTTATCTTGAATGTACTTGCATATTTTTAAAAACATTGTTAAAAATTTATAAATATAAAAATATTAAACGATGTAAATATTTATTTATTTATTTGTTATTATATAACACATTTGCTAAATGTTTCAATATTGTGAACTTTTAAAAGATTTAA